CGGGCCCCGATCGGGCCCGACCCGATTGCACTGTCTCGTCGGGCCGATCGGGGCCCCGATTGCACCGACGGGCCCCGATCAGGGCGCGATTTGCTGTATAAAGTTACAAGGCGGCATCCTCAGCAACACCGGCGGTGAGGCGTTCCGCGAGGATTCTGGGAGGGTGTGGTGCTGTTGGGGATATCGCCTGAACTGTTGCTCTTTTCCCGAAAGCATTGCGAAGGGTTCTTCCGGCGCGGAGCTCTTGGTCAACTTGCGCAGAGTAGCTTGCACAGAGTCACCAGCATGGAGATAATACCAGGAGCTCTTGTCAACTTGCGCAGAGTAGCTTGCGCAGAGTCACCAGCATGGAGATACTTGCACAGACTCACCAGCATGGAGATACTTGCACATGGAGTCACCAGCAAAGATTTACTTGCGCAGAGCCAAGTGCAAAGAGCCAAGCGCATAGAGCCAAGTGCTCAGAGCGAAGTGCAAAGAGCGAGGTGCAAGGAGCCAAGTGCACAGAGCCAAGTGCACAGAGCCAAGTGCAAAGAGCCAAGTGCAAAGAGCAAAGTGCGTCGAGCCAGGTGCAAAGAGCCAAGCGCATAGAGCTAGGTGCATAGAGCTAAGCTAAGCTATGTGTAGAGGCTCGGCGGTAGCAGCTGTGTAAGCTAGGTTAAGAAAGTTAGGTTAAGTACTTAATGCGCGGGAAAGAAAGAGAAAGAGCTCGGTATTAAGAATCTCTTTTAAGGCGGGGGGTGGGGATGTTGCCGACGATCGGCAATGCGACCCTCTGCGGGGATCGGCGTGGTCGAGGTGCAAAAACTCGAGGTTTTTTTGTGTTTTATTGAAATGCCCGCGCGACCCTCTGCGGAGATCGACGTGGTCGAGGTGCTAAAACTCGAGGTTTTGTGCGTTTTTTGATATGCCCGCGCAACCCTCTGCGGAGATCGGCCTGGTCGAGGTGCAAAAACTCAAGGTTGTTTGCGTATTTTTGCGGGCCCGCGCGACCCCTGCGGGGATCGGCGTGGTCGAGGTGCAAAAACTCGAGGTTTTTTTTGTGTGGTTTTTTTTTTTGGGGGGGTTGCGGTGCCCGCGCGACCCTCTGCGGGGATCGGCGTGGTCGAGGTGCAAAATAAAACTCGAGGTTTTTTGCGCTATTTTTGCGGTGCCCGCGCGACCCTCTGCGGGGATCGGCGTGGTTGAGGTGCAAAAACTCAAGGTTTTTTGCGTTCTTTGCGGTGCCCGCGCGACCCTCTGCGGGTGGTCGAGGTGCAAACACTCGAGGTGTTTTGCGTTTTTTGCGGTGCCCGCGCGACCCTCTGCGGGGATCGGTGGGGTCGAGGTGCATAAACTCGGGTTTTTTTTGCGTTTTTTGCGGTGCCCGCGCGACCCTCTGCGGGGATCGTGCGCTCTCGCCGTGGCGCCGTGCGATTTTGTTGCTCGCAAAGTGGCCTTTGGAAGTTGTCTCGTGGTTTGCGCGACTGCTTTCGCAATCCGCGGCGGCTCCGGCCTGAAAATCGCAGCTTTTAAGTACAAACGTAGTACGCGGAGCGTGCTCCTGCAGCTCCGGCTGGAAAATCGCAACTTTCAAGTACAGACGTAATATGCGGAGAGCGCTCCCGCAGCTCCGGCTGGAAAATCGCAACTTGCCAGAGCAACTTGCACAGAGCACTTGCACAAAGCACTTGCGCAGAGCAACTTGCGCGGAGCAACTTGCACAGAGCACATACGCAAAGCGCTTGCACGGAGCAACTGGCGCAGAGCGCTTGCACAGAGCAACTTGCTCAGAGCACTTGCGCAGAGCAACTTGCACAGAGCACTTGCGTGCAGCAGCTTGCAGAGAGCAACTTGCGTGCAGCAGCCTGGAACAATGCAGCTTGCGCAGACCACTTTCGTGAGAAATCGCGCGGCGCAGTTCGTGCAAAGCACATTGCGCCGAGCAGACTCGTGCAGAGCCAACTTGCACAGAGCCAGTTGCGTAGAGCCACTCGCGAAAAGTAGCTTGCGTAGACCCAACTTTCACAGAGCCAAGCTGCGCAGAGCCATCTTGCACAGAGCTGAGTTGCGCGAGCGTGCTTTGCAGAAACTGTGGCCGTCGTGTAAGCTTTGCTTTTGATTGCTTTTCCTTTTGCTTGTAATTCGTTTCGAGCTTTACGAGCTTTACTCTTCTTGTTTTACATACACATTGAGCATCGCCGCGTGCGGACACGCTCGCCGCAGCGATGTAAAAAGGTGTCTCCGCGGCTGGATGAGCACCTGGGGAAAAATGCTTTCGGGCCAATCGTCCTTTAGTTTTTTTGTTTTTTGTGGGGGGGGGGGGGGCGAAAGCCAACCACAAGGTCGCACCTCTGCCCAAAAACAAAAAACGATAAGCAGCTACACGCCCATCTCCTGGCGCTTACCACAACCTCGCCCGAAGCGCAAGGGAGAGCTTTTTGCCTCCAACCACGACATACTACAAAACAGGGCTGGGGTTGGGAAATATGCTTTCCAGAGGGTCAACCACATTCTTCGCAAAGCGGCAAAATAGCAAATGAAGATATATATATATATATATGTATTCGAATGCGCCAGGAAATCCTCTGATCTGAAATTCGATCAAAGTGCCCCAAAGAGCTGTCCTCTTCCCACATTGTGGAAAATAAACTTCCCTATGACTAGATTGTCCCTGAGGTGGTTCCAGTTTGCCAGCCCAAGGCACCAAGTTGAAGTGCTCTGCGAGCTCCGTGATCTGAGGATCCACCCCCACGGATTTGATCTGCTCGTACTGCGCCGCCACCTGCAGACGAATCCATGCCCAAAGGCAAGATGCCGCAATAAGATCTCACTTGGGAGCATCCAACGGCCTGAGCCCCGGGGGCTGGAGGCATCGCACAAGAATACCCATGTTAAGATGGCCCACAAGAAAGTGGTCGCACAAAGGGGTCTGTTGAACTGGGTAAGTGACATCCTCAAGTATCCCCTCTACATGAAGAAGGATCAAACAAGTTTACAAGCTGAACCGCCGCTGATTTTCGGCTTCGACCCCCGCGCCTGCTGGAACCTGAGCTGCGCCAAAGACTCCGAGTCCATGTTCGCGGGGACGGGGACCCCGGGCACCCCGGGCACCCCGACCCCGGGCAAGCCGGGGACCCCGGGGACCCCGGGGACCGGGACCCCTACGACCGAGGCCGTAGCAGAGAAAGCCACCCGAAATGCAACCAGTGACCTGGAAAATTACAGAAAGGGAACCCTTTGGAGATTAAGTCCCAAAACATCATTCTGAGGGGATGGAGCTTGACTGCTTTGCCCGGTGATTGTTGGGCAGCAACCCGGGGGGGGGTGGTTCTCCTCTCTAGAGCTCCCAGGCGATCTTCAATGAAACGAGGGGCCCTCACTACTTCCATTTCAAGCAATTTCAAGCATCGCTTCTTGGACTATGTTTCAAGTTAGTTTCCTTTTGGATGGGGTGATGCCAAAGGGAATTTGTGAACCCTACCCCTCAAACTGGCTTATCGTAGATTGCTTGTCCATCATTGGAGTGCATAGGGCCCTTTGCTGAAAGAAGGACTCGAGGGGATTGAGTAGAGGCCGAAAGTGAACCAAACCAGGGCTGTTGCATGGATTTCACTCCGTTTTTGCTTTGTGTTGGGCAGGCTCCCCACGGAAGATGAAAGTTCCCTGCACATTAAAAAGGGAGGTCGGACTGAGTTTCCTCCCTGACAAGTTCATCACTCCAAAAAGGAATTCCTTAAGGGAATCCAAGAAATTGGTCCTAAATTCCAGCTTTCCACAATCATGAACAGGAATCCAAAGAAGCTCCGCACTTTGAGGAGGCAAACAAACCAGTTTGAGAGCAGCGAATTCACGTTGCTTACCTGCAAGGAGTTGTTTGATTCCAGAACAAGCTCCTCAGCTGCCATCTTGACATGCAAACCAATCAATCTTGTTTAAACAAGGCGGCATGCTCGGATTTCGGCCATTCCTGCCTGGCACGCCCGGCACGCCCGGCACGCCCGGCAAGCCTGCCAGCCCGGGGGCTGTTGAAAAAGGAGCGCCCATCCCGAGCTTAGGCAGTTGCGGAAGGAAGGCGCCGCCCAGCGGGGACTGCAGCTGACCCAGCAAGGGTGCCGTCCTCAGGCCCGGCATGCCCGGCAAGGAGGCAATAGAGGCCATGGAGGCCATGGAGCCCATTGAGCTCATGTTTAGCCCCGGCAGCGACATGCCCAGCGGGGCAGCTGGTGCAGTCGGCAGCGGCAAACCTGCGCTGGGGGCGCCCGGCACGCCGGGCACGCCGGGCACGGGCGCGCCACCGGGGGCGCAGGGGCCGGGCGCAACGGGCGCCGCAGGCGGCACGGGCGCTCCATTGGCGCCTTCCTCAGCCTCTCCAGGCGCACGCTTGCGGCCCATCACGGCATGGCACTACCTGAGGCCAAGCTTCATCTTGAATACCTCCGTGCTGCGGAGCATCGGGCAACTTTGAGTTTCAGGCTCAACCGCTTGGCGGACATGGTTGAGCAAATAAACTTCCCAAGGTCCTCATGAACATGGCATGTTTGACGACGTCATGCCGCTTGTAGTGATAAGTGCGCATGAATTGGCCTTGCAGTAGTGGATTTGAGATGATTTGAGTGATGACTTTGCCAGAAACCCTTCAACTGCAGTGACCCCGTTGCTTATGTCCACTGTAAAGTCTGAAGTCTGCCATTCACTGCTACTACTCACCGAAACCGAAAGCCCCAAGCTTGTCATCATCACATGGGCAGTATGAAAGTAGCCTACATTTGCGGAAGATACGTGCCTATGCGGGGTAATGTCTGCCCCGGACTCGAACAACTGGTGGATTACTAGGTAGGCTGAAGGATCCTCTCTTGAATGGGACAAAACAATCAAGGTGTTGATTCTTCCTGGGCTCGCATTGCTCATTACTCCACTGGCCTGCAGCCTGTGGGCATGTGCTTCTTTTTTGGGGTTGGGTTTCCAGGGACTAGAAGGGAAGCCAGCCATGTTGGGTGCTGTCCAGTCCGCGGGCTCGCCTGGTGCAGGGAGCCATCCATGGCCGCCCTCAGCAAAGTCTCTGCGGTGGCCTGGCGCAAGGAGTCCAGGTCCTCAGCATCGCGGTTCGGCCGAAGCCGAAATTGCGCCTTTGGCTTCCCATTGCAACCCAAAAAGAACAGACAATGGGACCCGTCCGTCATTGATCGTCTGGGGGGGTCCACCGGGTTCTGGAAAACAACTTTTCCTCTAACCGGAAGACCCTTGAAAGAGAGCGGACCGAAAGCTGGCTTGACGGCGAAAGAATTCATGCCGACCAAATCCAAGAAGGGGAAAGAAGTTTCTCTGCTCGTTCGTTCTGGTCCGTTCTACTTTTATGTGGCCCTGGCCGTATGCACCCAAGAAGCTCGGCCACTTGCCCGCTTCCCGGTAAACCGCGCCTATTCGCTAGCGCAAAAGCCAAGTTTCAAATGCGACACAACATAAAACCCCCATCCGAAGCATTCCGAAGGTCCCTTCAAAATGGTCAAGGAACCTTTTGTCAGCTTCCCGGCTCCTCCCCACAACTCTTACACAATTGCTGAAGGCAGCCCAGCAAACAAGATAAGCCCAGGTGGCATCCCCGGAACAGCAAACAACTGGGCCCACGCCTCAGCTTTGGATTCCGCGAACGCCTTGTCCAAGCTTCCGTCCTCGCCAGCTCTGACGCGAATTTCCTAGTCAATATGCCCTGTGCGTCCGTTCAAGCACACTCACAATTACCCGACAAGAGAACCACCTTGGGAACTGAAATTCGCGCCTCGTATCCGCCTCCGAAAAGGGCTGCATCTTGGCTTCGGAAGGATTCAAGGAACAAGAGGGTCAAATCAAGCGGAATAAAACCTTCAACTATGGGCAAATTATTGCAACTCAGAAATTGCAAATTGCAATCCCCAAGTTCGGAATCTTCATGGGAGGGATCGCTTACCCCTATGTGAGCTCACTATAACTTGTGCAAATTCGCAACATGTCGGATTCTGTTTCATATCTGGCCAACCTTCAAAAACACGTTCTGGGCCCCAAGAAACCTCATGTCAGGTCGCTACAGTTCGCCCAACAGATCCGTCCTCTGCAGCCCTCAGAAGCGCCATCGCGGCCTCCTGAGCGCTTTGGAGGGTGGCCGCTTCCCAACTTGACCAGAGGCGCCCAGGGTGAAAGTAGATACTAACTTCCTGAGTGGATTGGCCGATCAAAAGCTTGTTTGTTTGCCACCATGTCAATCTTCCCCAAGCAGTTTTTAAAGTGTCACTTGAATGGCCCCAGTTCTCCCCTCGTGATGCTTGAATTGCCTAGATACCTGGAAGAATTTGGCACATATGAGTTAATACGCCCAGCACAGCAGCAAAGAATTTGAAGCCTCCGAAATAGACCGTTTGCAGGCAGCTAACTGTGTTGGCTGACAAGGGGAACAAAGGAAACCAAAAAACAACAAATTGCAGAGAGGTAAGCCAAGCCTGGCTGGTTTGCCACCAATCCAAACCACGAATTTGGGATGGCACTCCTCCTGCCAGGAAATAACACCCTTCCACAATTGTTGCAGGGCAAATCCCATGCTGTCCCCAGGATTACCCACCTGGTGCCAACGAATCTTTCGCCCATGCGAAAATTGGGTCAAACCACCAGGCCCTCCCCAAGCTCACCAAGTCAAACTTCTAATCTGGCAAAAAGGGATGTGTGCCAGTTGCTTCATGACTGACACGCAAACCTCGACCTTGACTGGCTTGACTGGAATCGTTGCTTCTGGGCGGCCCATGTTTGCGCGTCCAACAAAGGTACCTTGTTGGGAACCTTTCTCTTCACGGGACAAAAGCAGGCTGCGGCCCCTAGGTACCTTTCTTGGATGGTTTTATCAGAAGCCAACGTCAACCATCACCCGCATAGTGGAGTTCCCTATTGTTGCTTCTGGCGCAATCGCCTAGCTCTGCTCCCAGGCATGATCATGTCCCTTCAACGCAAAGAGGGCGTGGGAAGGTTTGGTGGGCCGCCGAAAAACTTGGCTGGGCCACCCATCTCGTCCCCCAGGCTCACAAATCACAACTGCTGAACTTGGTCAGTTGCTCACAAGATGCCTCAGGCCGCTTTGGGTTTTCAAGCCCTCGTCGTTTTTGTTTGGCCGCCGCCTGCTTCAAGGACTCAACGTCGCGCTCCTGACGGTTACGATGTCAAATGGGACTCAACGGATTTGGCGATTCAACCCCGGTTGAAACCATGCACTGCACACAAAATATCTGTTTAAGCAACCTCCTGGAGCTTCCCCTTAAATTATGTTTGTTTGAACTAATGCCAGTATTTTGCCAGTATGATTGGGAGTACATTTGAGATAAGTGCGGACATAGACAGGGACAACAACCAGGACGGTTGAGTAGATTGTCATCGGGAAAACTGGGGGGAGGGGGGGCACGGGAAAAAGACCTTACATACACTTATTTTTGTGAGACAGTTGGTTTGACGGAAAACTGGTTTGTAGGCTCCTTTCTCCAAGGGAAAACATGCCGAGGGGGCAAGGGGCGAAGAGGGACTGAAAAAAGCGGACGGTGCGTTTGGGGGCTCACCCAAACGCAGAGCTAGCTTGGCATACTTCCATGAGGGACAAACCAGACATGTTTCCAATAGTCTTCGCAATCGCTTCGACTTCCTGGCCAAAGGGCAGTCGAAAGAGAGGACAGCCCCGTCCCAGACTGTTCGCTTCGACCTGCGCGCAGTTTCTCTCGCTCCTGACCCTTGGCCTTCGCCAGCGCCGCATCAATGGCGCCGGGCTCCTGAAGGGCTGACTGGGGTGCCGCCCTTCTACCCGTAGCCACGACCATCTGGCAAAGAGGATGCATTTTGGAAGGCAAGAGGGCTTCAAGGGGAGGCAAAACTACGCCCCAGCCATTTTTCACCACTCTGATCCCAAGTAGGCGGTTTAGGAATACGACTCACTATTGCGAGCACCTCCACCGGAAAGGGGGGCCTTCAAAGAAATCACAAGTGCTATATTGGTCAGGGAGGCTAGAGAGTGGTTTGGCACTAGGAACCACAAGCCATGGCGAATTACGGTTGCGCTTTGTTCCCTTTGATGTATGCTTAGGTATTTCGGTCATTATGCAAAACTATACATGTGATTGGATTCACTTGCAATGCTTGAGTTGCCTCTTCAACTTTCAGTTGGAACCTGGGAAGACTGCTTGAGGTTCGATCACAAATTCCAGAGAGATGTCCATTTGGCACAGACATGGGCGACTCACCAATTTTTCACAAATACAAGGGGTCTCACCAACATCTAGGTCCAGTAGGGCAACAGTAATTTGTGACCGTGGCCAGAGGCTTAACTTGGGTTGTGCGGGTTTCATGCAAAACGGGCTTCCAAAAGGGCTTCTAGGTCTGACCCAGGAAAAGAGAGAGAGAGAGAGAGAGAGAGAGAGAGAGAGAGGGAGGTGTGACCCACTGCCGGCGGCACGTAAATCTGCACAGTTTTCCTGGAGCACTTGCCTGACTTCAGGTTCTCAGAGGGTTTCTACAACCCCCAAAGAACCCCCATCCATGTTGGTTTCGTCCCCCTGCTGGGATGCCCAAGCGACGCAGAGATATGAGAGGTTAACCTTTTGGAACCTTGACTAAACATGAACCAAACAAGAGAAACCAAAAGGTCAAAAAGGTCGTTTGGGTTTAGTCCCTACTTATCCTCTGGAGGCCATTCGGAGCCTCCATCGCCTTGACCAAGGCGTTGGCCGCCTCCTGTCGGATCTCTTCAATGCTCGGGGCCTGCGGCTGATTGACCGTGCAGAATTTATATCCGAAGGCCGACGGCGCCAAACTGCTGTTCACGGGTGACTTGTTAAGTCTTTACATGCGAAAAAGCACCCGGGCGACGCTTACCGGTTGAATCAAGGCTTCCGGCTTCTGTTTCTCCAGCCTGGTGGTGCAGGGCCGCCTCGAGGCGCCCATCCTGGGCCGCTGACAGCAAGGTGGCCGCCGCCTCCGAGCGCAGGCCGTCCAGGTCCTGCAGAGCTGAGGCCTTGAGCTCTGGAAAAAGCAAACAATTCAAACAAGTATCATCAATGATCCACTTGTGGTTTCCTTTCGGGGGAACTCGCCTGGAAAAGGACCCGGTAAGGAGCTTAAGGTTGGTGTGGTGGTTGTGGGAGTGGGGTCTCTCTCGCTCTCTCTCCGCCTTTGCGTCAGGAGGGTCTTGACTCGGCAAGGCAACGAAAAGGCGCCGACGGGTAATCAGGGGCACCCAAAACATACAAGGGTTGCCGACGCAGAGGTGACGCAGGTTGGTGAGGTGGGAGGGTTCTTGACTCTGCCTTGTTGGCATTCATCAATAAGGGGATGCCACATGCAAGAGGGAATTCCGTACTTTTTGGTGGAGCTTTCCTCCCATGAATCCACCAGGTTGGTTAATGTGAGGCCGACGCGGACATTCGTGGGTCTCAAGGTGAAGTCCCTTGTTTCGGCCCATCAAGTGTAAGAATGTCGACCCTGGATTCATCAATAAGAATGTCGACCCTGGATTCATCAATCTGGCAAAAGAAGTGAAGGATCACCTTTGGGTGTGTCTGATCGACCCCAAAGAATGCTTCCAGAGGTCTCCCTTTAGTGAAGGATCATCAAATTCAGATTAAATGCGACACTTTCCTGGTTTACTCATCCGGGGTTCTCCTTAAGTCGGAAAGGAAGACGGGCCAGTTTTTGGTTATCCACTTGTGTTTGCGCTGGCAGACTGGGGTATAGACAAACGGCGGGGCACCCTTGCTACGAACTGTTTTGACCTTCCAGCAGGGTTCCTGATAATCTATGTCCCCCTTTCAACATCATCTTGCAAAAATTGATGTCAACGTTCGCAAACAATTGTGGCTTACATGGGATGTCAGGATCCATGATGTTTCATGGTAGTTCGCAAGAGTTGGGTTCGGAAACAAAGTTTCAGAGTTTCACTGGAACCGGCATTTTAGAAACGCATTGGTTGAAGGCCCCCGCTTTGAGGGTTTTAGCTCAGGCATCGGTCCTGCGCGGCCCTCTTCCGCAAAACCGCCTCTAGGGTGCCGTCGGCTGCGCTCTTCATAAGCAAATCAGCAGCACGTGCGCGCAAAGGGTCGGATGTCCCCGTGCCCTGCGACAGGGGCGGAAGGGACAGGACTTGGGACAAATTGCTAATCATCATCGCCTTCCACCTTAGCACGCCTGTGCCTGACAACCGCTACAACTGAGCTCGTCAACCAGAATTGAGCTATACTTCGTGCAGAGACATGCTCGAGGCCTCCCGCAAAAGCAGGCATCGCCCACCTGATGGTTTCGGGTATTGGCTTTTGAGGGGCCCAGTCTGAGGCCAAACCCGTCGCCTCGTCCTGCGACGTGGGGCGCTGGCTCAGGACCGCCTCGAGCGTCCCGTCCTCCGCGGCCTTCAACAGGGTGGCCGCCGCTCGCTGGCGCAAGCCATCCACATCCGCGCCTCCGGCCTCCTGGAATTGCAACTGGTATTGAAGAATACGTTGTTTAGCTCAATTGGTGCTAGGGCTGGGCTAACCCATTTTTTTAAACAAGTTCATTACACATGCAAAATGCTTAGACAAGTTCTGGGTTCCTTTTTGAAGGTTGTGAGGGTTGTTCAAGCGACTGTTGCCGAACCATGCCGAACCCTGACTGATACAGAAGCATCAATCGGATAGCGAGGAGTAAACTGTCACGGCGCCTAATTTAGCTAGATTGGTTCAGGGTTCCCAGCTGCTTGGCGTTTTACAGCGCTGGCAAGGCTTCCGAAGCGGCACATCTTGGGAGAAGCTTTGGAACTGCTTATGCTCAGGGATGGTCCAAGCCTGCTCGAGAACAAAAGACCGAAGTTTAGGCTTTGAGCTGGCACAATGCACGCGCTGAGCGGGTGCGCTTGAGCAGGCGCTTCGCATTTGGCATGCGTGCAGACAGTGCTGAACTCGTGCTCTTGAGCAAGCGTGGATTATTTGGCAGGCGTGGGCACAATGCTGAGCCGGCGCTCTTGAGCGGGAGCGCTTGTTTGGCAGGCTAGGATACATTGTTTTGTTTGGCAGGTCCTTTATGTTGCTTCGCCGGCTGTTTTCTGGTGCTATTGGATTCCTGACACTTGGATGCCCACAAAAGAGCGACCGTACTCGGGCGCAAGGGAAGCAAGTGTCCGTTGTCATGAATTGCTGGTTCCTGCCCAAGACCTTGCCGAATTGCGCGCATAGCACAGGGAGATTTGCCTTTCCGCAGCGTTTGCTTGTGCTGTTTGAGCTCCCAAGGCGAAGATTTGAGAGGTGCTTTTGGATGCTGGGAGGTCAATGTTGGGGCATTTTGCCCTACGCCCTTTTGGTACGTGGCTGGCGATTGTTTCGTTTTTTGGGGGGCTTTTTGCGGTTCGCCGCGCCGCCTTTTGGTTGGTGGTTGGTGGTTGGTTCATTTGTTTGGGCATTTTGCCCTTCGCAGCGCCGCCTTTTGGTTGATGGTTGGTGTTTGTTTCTCTTGCTTTTTGTTTTGGTTGGTTCGTTTGTTGAGCATTTTGCACTTCGCAGCGCTGCCTTTTGGTAGGTGGTCGGTGGTTGGTTCTCTTGTTGGGCATTTTGCCCTACACCGTGCTGCCTTTGGTTAGTGGTTGGTTCATTTGTTGGGGCATTTTGCCCTTCGCCGGGCCGCCTTTTGGTAGGTGGTGGGTGTTTGGTTGATGTTCGGCCCTTTAGGGAGGCGTGTTGCCTTCGCCACGCATCCTTGTGATAGAGGCTTCGGTCCTGCTTTGCATTGCCGTACCCTACTGAGGTACTTCACTTCAGGAGCGGCTCAACAATATTGATCATTCCTTCTGAAACTAAGGAGCGAAGGCCATAACACCGGCCCAAGGAGCAGTCAAAGAAATCGTGGCAGCAAGGTTGCCAACTCGGCGACTGCACTGTCTTGACGGTGAGTGCTATTGAGGGCGCATGCCTTGCGGGAAATAAGGGGCGCCGGTTTCGCTTCTCGTTTTGCAATGCGGAGGCTGCGTGTGCGTGAGTGCGTGCGTGCGTGTGTGTGAGTGAGCGTGGTTTTGTTTCCGACGGAGACAGAAAGCATCTAAGAAAGGAGCATCTGAGGCTGCAGTTGAGATCGCAAGTGGGCAGAAGTAAGAATCTCAAGGGTGCGCTGACTGCAAGCCGCTTCAATCTTTGGACGCGGCTCCGCCGCCCAAGAGATCGGGCAAATCTTTCTTTTGTGTTTGAAAGTCGGGCTCGATGTCATTTCGCGTGTAGCTGCTGCCTGAATTCCTGTTTCCTCCAGACAGACATGCTCCCGGGCGGTCCAGCTTTTCCTCAAAATCTAACAAATCAAGCTCACCAACTGTTCCGGGAGCCGGTTGAGAAGGCACGGACTCTGGCAATTCAATGGACCACATGGCCCACCAGTCCGCGCCCAGATGCTGGAAGAAGAGCAAGGCTGGTTTGTTTTGACCATTGAAGGTGGTCGGGGACAAGGAGCCTGAAGCGCCGTACGGGTAATTTGATGATGCTCATCAAGACTGAGGGCTTGGTGGATCTCTCTACCTCTGGGATTAGCTAACCCACCTTGGCTGTGGCTGGGCATTGCGAAAGGAGGACATGAGCCTTTTAACCAATTAGTTTTGCAAAAAGCTGCAGATTGCTGCGTGTGACTTGGGGAGTTGACTTGCCTTGACCTGCGTGTTCGGTCTGGATGTCCGAGCGTGGGGGATGGAAGGTCAAGATAGGTCAAGCTTGTTTTCTCGTAGCATGACTGGATTGATTGAGTCACGCTGAGAGTTGACAAGTTGCCGCCTTTCCACTTCACAGATGATCTTGTTCTTGATCGCTCCCTCCTCTGAGAGCATTTCCCTAACTAAGCTTGGCCATGGATAGTGACTTGGAAGCATCCTTAAGGGATGCGGTGCGTGGATGATGACGCCATGCAAACTTGAGCACCGACGCCTGGCTGCGGCTGATGCCCCATCTGACCAGCGGCGAGCCTTGGCCATGACCAGCCGCAGCAAACGCAGGAACCTTCGCACTTGGACCTCACCATCATTGCTTGGAACGTCCGAGGTGCGTTCCGATCGCAGGACGGCTGCGATGAGGCCAATGTGGCAAAGCTCAGTGCCTTCATGCACGGTCAGGGTGGCAGTTATCTCCGACCCGCGACTTGGACCGGGGATGGTGTGGCCAGAGTGGACTGGCGCAACATACCTTGGAGAACGCTCTCGTAATCCTGACTCTGTGGCCGTAGTGGGGCTGAACGAGGTGGTGCAAGGTCGGGGACTCTCGAGCTTTGTGGCTTGAACTTGAAAAGCCACTTCTCACCGTCATGTCGCAGGCTGACATTATGGTAAATGTTGATGTGATTTCCGCAAGGGACCTCCTTGGCAGCGACTATGACCCCTTGAAGGCCCAACTGGTTGGAAGAAGCTTTCTGGCGCGCGAAGCCCCAATGACAGGCAAAGCGTGTTGGAGCAGACGGGACTGCTGGGCTGAGGCAGTAAACAGCGCGTGCGCCTCACTCATGTTCATTGCAGGGTGGGCTGCTGCAGTGGTTCGATCTGATCACGTCAGACAGTGGGTGGGGAATGGGACACGAAAGGGGCTTCGCCAAAACTTGCTGGATATAGCAGACTGGTGGCACACTGTTTTGCTGGTTTTGGTGGGACACCTTGCGGATCTGGCACGGGTGCATCGAGAAGAACAGACGGCCAGGCGTATGCTACAGGAATTGTTTGCCGCGTTGGGCATGACCTTGGAGATGGTGATGTGGAGATCCGTGCAGAGATTGACATGCGTTTTTCGGCTAAGTCCACGCCAGCAGGTCTGAGGCTCAATCCTTCCTAGCCCAAGATGCAGCTGCAGCTGGGGCTGCGCGACCCAGAAACAGGCGAGGAACTTTCGATGGAAGAGGGGCTGGGGCAGATTGAGCAGGACGTCCTGCTGCGCCCGCAGAGAGCCGACCCGGGGGATTCGCAGCTAGTCCAGCAATTCGTCCGAGCTCTGCAAGAGACATCGCAGGACTTCGAGGAGCTTGCTTCGCTGGATTTGGTGAAAACTTGCTGCCAGCAACAAAGGCAGCGAAGGCTTCTGCACGCTTGCCAAGAACGGCATCGGTGGGCGCCGGGGTTACGGTGGTTTGGGCCTTGGTCAATTTGATTGCTACGTTGTGCCTCGTTCCGCACGCTTGGTTCCGAGAGATTTCACCCATTCGAAGAAAGGCCCACGCACGGATCGTTGAGCGCCTGGCAAATTTGCGGCCGATCTCATACACTTGTCCATTGGAGTTCGATTCGTTGCTGGTAGCCCTCTCCATCATTACCTGCTTGCAGCTGCGTGCAGACGTTGGTCTCCCGTCGTTTTTGAAAAAAACTGACCTGCTTCGATTTGACCTCAGCTGAAAGGATGGATGCCTTTTCCAGCTTGCCCAAGCCGGGGTAGAGGGGCGAAGTTGGCTGTTGCAAGATTCGCTTTTCAACGGTAACCAATCCCGCGTCAAACTCTCACACTTTTGAGGTCCATTGCGGCAGCTGGGCTGAATTTGGAGTTGGGCAGGGGAAGGCCACCTCTGTTTACCTCTTTGGAACTTTGACGCAGGGACTGGCGGACCTTTATCACGCCACACCCGGGGTGGGGCTAGGCTTTACAAAGGTGGCGGAGGCATCGTCCCTCCTGCCCTGTTGAGCCGGGCGCCTGCTGAGCCGGTGAGGCCCATGGTGCTCCCTTTCTTATCCACAGAAGTTAGCAAAGCAATTGTTGAAAGGAACCAACCTGATACAACGGACATGTTCACTGCCAGTGAAAGGCTGGTGGCCATGGAAATTGTTGCGCCATACAGGGTTGGCTTGTTCCAATACGTGGATGACACCTTTTCCATTGACTCCACCGCCTTTGGGCTGCAGTTGGCTTGCCAGGCTGATTTCCTCTTCGAACGCTTTTGGAGACACAGGCTTGCTACGGGGGCAAAGGGGGCTACTGTCTTACCGGTGAAATGCCTGTTGGGCATGCCGTCAGTGGAACTGAGTGCTTTCGCTACCCCACCCCGGGTTGCGGATTGCATGTCAGTCTTGGGAGTTGAAGTCGATGGCGGGCTCACCTTCGAAACCTTATTGGCAATGGCTTGTGCCAGGTTTATTAAGGAATCGCAGGCAATGATTTCCACAATGCGGGATAGTGCCCTGGGACTTGTTTGGCAGGGAGCAACTTCACAGCAGGGTTGAACCATCTGCGCTTTACGCAGCTGCCTCTGTAGCGAACCATTCGCATGGCTGGGCTGCAGTTGCAAAGCGCCTCAATCATGCACAATATGTGGTTTGCAAGGAGCTGCCCAGGGGCGTCCCTTGGGAAGGGGGGGAGGGCCGCATCATGCATGAATTGGGCATGAAGTGGCGGCTCAGCACCCGGGTTGCCATGAAAATCATTCTTACCCGAGCACGCGCTTTGTGCCTAAAGAGTGACCACCTGGCCTGTCTTCCTTTTCAAGCCGCAGTTCTCTGCAAAGGTTCTTCTTGGATGACTCATGCTCAACAGGCAGCAGAAACCTTAGGGGGAACGCGTGTTTTTTTTTTTTGTGAGGATAGGGAGTCCATGCGTTTGCTGGAATTTGCTCAGAGCGATGCTGCGAGACGGGCCGTTCGAGAGCGGCGAAACTCTGTTGTTCTGCCGCAACTTGCACGAGTGGAGAAGGAATGGTTTCAGACTCAAGCGAGCAAATGGAGCAGCAGGCACTGCTTTAGCCTGGTACCATGGGACGCTCGACATTTGAGATTCCTTCATTTCCTGCAATCCTTGTGAGCCAATGGACACAAGCGCGGATCTGGCTTTTTGTCCTTCTGACTGGGTGCTTCCCTTTTGGGTTTTTTTGCAATTCCCAGTAGCTATTCGCAACTTTGGAAGCTTGCCCATGGTGCAGCGTTGCAGATGAGGATGTGCACCATGCTTTGTCTGAATGTCAAGGTTTGCCTCTTGCTTGCGACCCCCAACCCATGTCTAAGGTCCTTGATGAAGACTGCTTTAAGAGGAATATTCACTTTGTGTACCAGGCAATGCGGGACGACTGAGCAGCAAAGTTGACGCGATGTGGCGGCCGATGCGCCCTTGGAAGGTGCCCAGGCCCATTTCGTGGGAGGGCCTTGCAGGCTTACACTTACACTTACACTTGGCAGTGGGCGCAGCGCTAAGCGGGCGCCTCTTGAGCGGGCGGGCGAAGAGGACCTTGGGCCAAAAAGCAGTGGCCACCTACACACCGTGGTCCAGTAACAAACCCGTTTGAAGGTCTCGAGGCTAGGCGATGGTATGGAACACCGCGCCGATACAAGATAAGCCCTCGGCCCCCAATGTGCCACCCGGACCGCCCAAGCCATCCCGTGGAACCTCAAAACTTGCCCGGCGAACGTCACGCAGCTGAGCACCAAAAGGGACAACCACAGTCTCTGCTGTGAGGTCAACGCCTGGACGCCGATCTCATGAAATCCGACCATGTGAAGGTGGTTTACCCATATTCATAATATGGTTTCCTCCACCCTAAACGGTGCGAGGAGGGTCTTGTCTGCCTTTATGTCGCAGAAAGCGTTGTTTCTCAATGTGATTTCGCACACGCGCCAAGCCCATACCCCACGTCGCAAGATTTGTCCTGTTGAGCACGCTCTTGCTTTTCCAACGCCGCCCTGTCACCACGAGCTTGAAACAAGGGTTCCCATTTCACGCGTCCGCCAGCCCGGCACCAAAAATCCACCCTGCAATGATGCCGCCCCCTGTACCCCCAACATCGCTAAGCCCAATTTGCTCTGCGCCAAGCGCAAGTTGCGCAGCCTGAATTGCTCTGCGCAAGTCGTGCAGCGTAGGTTGCTCTGTGCAAGTTTCTCTCCATCAATGCACTGCGCCCTGTGTGTACTCCAGAGTTGCAACTTTGGAACTGGACTTGCGGGAGCGTACATCATGCGCTCCTTGCGTGCTCAAAAGCTGCCATTCCAGCTCAAGTTGCGAGAGCACGCTTCCCACTTTCGTACTGAAGTGTTGCGACTGAAGGCTCCTAACCCGCCTGCCCGCGGACAAGCCGGGGAACGGGCCCGCTAATCCCAAGAACCAGTGCACGCACGATGATACAACTTCCAAAGACTCATCCGCGAGCGTCCCAAAGTTGGAAAAGTCCTCAGTTGTTGGACATCCACCAAGGCGATCCCCGCAGAGTTGCAAAAACTCATCGATTCCCGCAGAGGGTCGCGCTCGGAGTGTGAACGTAGCAAAGCTCCTCCGTTTGCGCAGAACGACCACGCCGATCTCTGGAGAGGGTTGCAACGCTGAGCGAGGAAAAACGCTCCTAACCCAGCGCCCTCGAAAGCTGGCCTAGCATCATCAACTGCTTACGCCGAGGCGGCTACGCAAGCTCTCCTGCCCAAGCCCCCGACCCTAGCCACCCAACCTTGCTAATTACCCAGAGCAACTTGCACAGCTTGCGCAAAGCAACTTGCGCAGAGCAACTTGTGCAAAGCAATTTGCACAGAGCAACTTGCATAGGCTCGGTCCGAGCGCACACACTCCGTGTAAGTCGCTTTGCGCAGATTGCTATGTGCAAGTTGCTCTGCGCAAGCTGCTTTGCACAAGTTAGTCCAAGAGCTCCTCACGGAAGAACCCTTCGTGTTGCTTTCTGGGAACCGGCACTTTCCCGCAACCCAGCATAAAATGCTGGAAACGGCTCCCTAAAACGAAGCATCCAGCTGGAAAACCCAAAGGCGAAGTGACTTCTTGGGGCCGGATGACGTTCTCAAGGTACCCTCAGGCAAGTTTCCCGATCAGGTACCTTCCGCAAGACAGCCCTAGGCCCTAGGCTAGTTAGAGGGGAGGGTGTATCCTGGACTTTGCTGGGTTTCACTCAGCGGGGGCTCCCTGTCGAAAACACTCCAGACTGTTCTGAGTTCTGACGCGTCGCTTTCCAAGGCCGCTTGTGCTTCCAGTCATACATCAGTGACCATGGCAGACGGAGGGAACGAAAGAACGAAAAGAAAAAGACTGGCCGGAAAAGACTGGCCGTCCTGTTTCTCCTTCAGCACCTGCTCCAAGGTCCCGTCATCCGCCGCCCGCATCAGCACCGCGGCCGCCTCGCTGCGGAGCTGGTCCACGTCCTGTCACCACTGGGGTTGCAATCCCCCAAAGGTCAACGTTTGGTCGGCAAATCATTCTGCTTCTCATTCTAACGATTCGCACACTGCAGCTCGGCATCAGCTTGCGTACAAACTGACTGCAAAGAAGGCCAAGGCCAACCCTCATCCACTAAGCTGATTAATCCAAGGTCGACATTGCCGCTTTTTCACAGAAACATTTCCCACAGCCCTGTCAAAAATAGGATCTGAGAAGCCAAAGACAAAAAAAACTCTCTCGGACGCCCATTCGAAGGCAACTCGTTGGTGGCCAGGGGAACAGATTGACACCCCCTGCCCCCGCCCGCAAAAGTTGGTCTTGGCAAGCCGGCATCCTTCTTGGTTAGAGGCCAGACCAACAGACCAAGTTTAGGGATTCAGGACTCCTGGGAGTCGCACGGAAACTCAGCACGCCCCTTGCTTAAACATGTCGAAACGCCTACTGCTTTAGCAGCATCTTGTTGGTTCCTCTTCAAGGTGGGGGTGCCCGCTGGCTTAGTCAAATCTTGCCCAACCATAAATGTGGGTACCTACCAATGACAAGTGTGCCGTGACCGTTCCTACCACTACTGAAACCTGAATTCCCACTGCCCTAGCCAACAACTTCCCGAAGTAGGATGATAATCGTGACGCCATGTGCGCGATTAAGGACCAGAAAGGGCCAGAACTCCATGGCTCTCCTCATGGCTCCAAAAAAACCGCCCCCACCCATTCAAGCCCCTAACGGTGAGCCTTGCTGTCGCTCTTCTTGCTCAGCACCTCCTAAGTTCACCATGCCGCTTGGAACGTTTGGATGCCACTTGGAACGTTTGGAGCGTGGGGGCTGGCCACCAACGAAGGGTGCCCGAACATCTAACCCGCTGTTGGACGCATGGAAAACCAAAAGGAAACAGTTGGCATTCTCACCTGCCCGAACCGCTATGGTGGTTCGGATCCCGAGCCCGTCTTAGACAATTGAACTGAACATTAAAAAGTGGTGGATCCCCCTTGGTGGAAGAGATTGTGTTTTAAGCGGCCACGTACCTGTTCGGAGTCAAAGGACCTGGAGAACTGCAAGGTAAGCGAAGCAGCTTTCTCCGACACAAAATGCGGATTCCGTTCCAAATCTCGAATGCCGAAAGGTCGAAGATGACCGACAGGTGCCAAATTGCCCATGCCCTGACCAAAGCCACGCGATGACTTGGGGCGGGCTTCTCGCATTAGATTGATGGTGGAGATCTGGGCAAATGAGTAATCAAAACCTCGCCCCAACCCATGCTACGGCGTAAAAGGGCGGAAGCCTGCATCCATTTACGATTGAAACTGTCCCTTTAACCTTCACCTCCCCACGACTTGATGGATCCAATGGCACGCGCCTCACACACCGAAACCGTGGGGCGTGCAACAAGTTTCATGAGGCCCCCGCCAACATGATGTCTATGCAAGTCACACCCAAAACCAAATCGGCGTGTCCAAAACGGGGGGGCATAAGGGACCCCGAGCAACACCGACCGTTCTTCAAGTCCTCCAGCTTCCCGCTCTGCGCCGCCTGGAGCAGCGTGGCCGCCGCCTCCTGTCGCAAAGTCTCCGGGTCCTGGCGACATGGCCACATGGCGCCATGGCGCCGAAATTCTCGGTTTGGGGTGGTGACCCTCTTGATTTCCTGTACACTTCCTCGCTTCTTCATGTCTGAAGAGAACTGATAGGTATGGCTTGTGGGGTAACTCGATGCCGACTAGTGAGCTGACCGCTTTCAGAAATTCCTGGTTTGGTTCTTCGACACTTCGCCCCGCATACTGAGAACAAGTTCATGGTTGGTGGTTCCAATGAAAAACTCACTTGTCCCAGGGACCTGCAAGTAAACGTTGTACACGAGAACTGTTTGCAAGTGAGAACTGCCACGTTTTGGAGATCCAAACCCCTGATCCTGGCTGTCGACGCGCCCAACTGCCCTTGCTCCTGTAGAATAACGCGCAACCTGAAGAACCAGCGGTTTTAGCTGAACCCCCGTGGAAATCGCGCCTTTTGTGCGTGTCCCATTTTTCTTTTGGAGTGCTTGAAAAGCCCAAGGGGCGCCACGGCCTTATCACCCCCGTCCTTGGGCGCCTTCTTTTCCTTGAGCACCGCCTCCAGCGTGCCATCCTGCGCCGCCTTCAGCATCACTGCGGCGGCGTCCTGGCGCAGTCGCTCCAGGTCCTGCGAGGGCGGTTTGTGGGGGGGGGGGGGTGCAAGAGTTAGGTAGGGCCATGCGCAACTTTTTTCGGACTCAAAAGTCTAGGGTACACCCTAGGTTTTTTGCATTTTTTGAATAAGCGCCTCAAAACAACCATTTTAAAACATATTTTGAAACAGTCTAAACACATTTTGATAAATATTTTTTTAGTACTGCATACCAAAACAAAAATTGAATTATTTTTTGAAAAACTCAATACACCTAAACATTGTCATTTTCAAAAACACACATTTTCCAAAATATTTTCGAAAATATATGTTTTCAAAAGAGATAAATATATATATCATGTTAAGAAGAATTATTCAATAAGAAACAACATTTTCAATAATTCAATGAGAAGACTAATAATTAATCATTTTTCAACATTTTGATATTCCGGAGTTGCGCATGGCCCACCTTGTAGGATTTTATCTTCAATATATAAAACGCTATACTTACACTATAATTATAACATATAAGGGTACAAATGTTATAATCATAGTATGGTTATAATTTAAATTCAGGATAACTATTTAATTGATATATATCTCCTCTTTCATACATCATTTTAATAATACTATTAATATCTCTCACTGTATTTTTAACATTAAACTTTTCACTTTCAATAAATAATTTAATGTTTTTTTACATCAACCCCTTCCATTTTATGATAAATCAATGCCCATAATATGTAGTCAATAATTTCATATTTTTCTTACTGATTTTAAGAAATGCTTTAACATAATCATAAGGCGGTATTTCATACACAGTTAAAAATATCAAAATGTCATTTTCAACATTTCTTTCATTAAACCTTTTAATATCTAAATTATATTCGATTGCGTCTTGGTAATATCTCCATTTTTACATGTTCGGCATATATTTTCTTTACCCAAAGAATAATCAATAATATTATTAACTATTCCATTAGGTAAATTCAATTTATATAATTCCATATTTTCCTTTTTGAAGTGGCAACAGTCGTAGCATTTCTTATTGATATAATTATTGATTTCGGTTTCCACCATTTCTATTATAATCTATATAGTTTTTATTTCTTTAAATACTTTTTTTACAAGAAATATTAAAATATTATTTAAATTATTATCATTTACAACTACAATTGCATCTAACACAGTAAGGAATAATATTATTCAGTTCGTGTGACAACTCGTTTGATTTACGTTGCGCTGTCAGATTTGTCATTATATTACCGTTTTTAATATCCATAGAAAAACCGCATCCGCAGTAATTACATTGATTAGTGATATTATTTAAAAACCATTGCGCATTTACATAACCTTCTTTAGGTATTGTTCTTTTGGCTTTCCTGTCTTGTTCTTTGTAATTAATATTTTCCTTTCAAAATAACTCATAATACATTTTTGATTAAATACATCATCAATATCTTTCGTATATTTATAAAATTTGACTTTGTTTAAATCTCTACACCTTGTAATTGCAGTCCATATCCATTCTGGAAAATTCTTTACCAAAAATGGTTATAATCAAAAATTGTTATGGTATCATCAATGCTACTGCCTTGGGCAGAATGACAAGTCGAGCAATATGCAAATATAAAATTACTTCTTATTTTACCAACTGGCAAAGACTGTAGAATTTCAGTTTAATATTTTTCAACGTAAATATTCCATCGCTTCCAATATGAACAATTTTATAATTGAAATTTACATTAAAAACTGATGTTTTAGTTGTTGTATATTCTCTACAAATTAAAAATTCTCCTACTTCATATTCATCTTTTCTATTTTCTAATTTTCTAATTTCATTTGATACATTTTTACAAGTTGTATTTAAAAATGCTATGTTGTTGATTGATTTGCTTATGTCAGTTGTATATTCAAAGTATTTTTCAATAACTTTCATAATAGGTAATTTATTTTCAAAAATATCGATTTTAATATTTCTTAGTTTATCTTTATCTTCCTGTGTGTTAAGTCGCTTACATTCTTTTAACAAAATATTATATTCAAAAATGTTATCTATAATGTTATCAGTATATACTTCATAGTCTCGAGTATTTGTTATCTCTTGAACTGGTTTTAACTGCTTGGTGTCTCCTGTTGCTATTATAATTTTGTTGTGCTTATTCTGTTCTACAAATTGTTTTATTCTCCAATATATATTTAAATTACTAAAAAAAACTTCGTCAAATACTATAACATCAAAATCTGTAAAATCAAACGGTTCTAATTTAGCATCTCCATAATTAATACCGAAAAATTCATTTATTGTCATTGCTTCGCCTTCGAATGCCTGTAATAGTTTATTAGTAGGACAAATAAAAATTACATTATAATTTTTATCAACCATTTTTTGACATATATATGATTTTCCTGTGCCCGGTAGTGCTCCACGAATCATAATAGGATTATTTTGTTCAATAATTTCTATAATGTTATCAGTGTCATATTCATCTACAATATCAATAGTTTTACTTTCATAAACTGGTATTTGTATTAATTCGTTTTGTGTAATTTCATAATCTACAGTAGGAAATTTAATATATTCGTCATTTGAAACTCGCCAACCTCCTATTTCATTATTAAAGATTAAAAGCCCTCTTGCTTTTGTTATATCCGAACGCTGTATTACAAATGCATCTGTTTTGACGCTAAATATATTAATACCATTTTGATGTAATTTAGAATAATCTTGATACATTCTAAAATTATGGTATTGAAGCAGTAGCTCTTTTACATACCTAAAACCATTCCTTAAGCGTGATGTGTCCTTTAAATTAAGTATATAATATGACGCCTGTTCTTCTTCTGCTGTATATTGTTCTTCATCTACTGTAATTTGTTCTGTCGTGAAATGTGTTAATTTATGTATTTTACCTCCATACTCTGCCTGATAGTTTAAAGCTTCCTTCAGATTTTTAAACACTGTGCTCTTCTGGTCAGTTGCTCCCCCTTTTTCTAAAAGTCCATAATTAACATTTGCGACCAGTTTTTTTATACATTTATCTTCCTCATTGTCTTCGCTAATGTTTGCGTTCCAAAGTTCATTAACAATATTTTTATGTTCAACTTTGTGAATAAATGAAGGTTGTTTAAAGTATAAAATATCAATTCGTTCTCTTGTCATGTTATCTAGTTGTTTCAAAAATACACCATAGATTAAGCAATATTTTTTATTAAATAGCATTCTTCCTGTCCGTTTTAGTATAGTAGTTTTCTTTTCTATATAATATAACGTTAAGTCGTGTAGGTCATAAATATCAGTTGTATCATCAAACGCTCGCCAAATGTCGAATTGATTAAATACTGGTATTTCTGATATAGTAATAAACGCATGAGTAAATGCTTTTGATATATCGATTTCGATTTCATTTTTGATATCGCCCCTATCGCACAATAAGCCAGATGGAACAACTGTTCTGGCTTCGTCTAAAATTTGAATATCAATGTCATTATAAAACGATTTATGAGATAAGTTAAACAATGACTTATTAAAATTAAACATTGCTTTATTCATATTGTTATATGTGGTTTCATCACATACTGCAATACATCCATCTGCAGAAGTTTTTATTAAATTTTGTGTTTTATTATATATATTGTTTTGTTAAATTTTATTTTTATTTCTGATATAATACCAGCTTGAAATCTAATTCTTGGTTCGTAGCCACTATTAACTAAATTGAAAAATAATTCAGATAACTTATTGTCTTCGGATACTAAATATCTCTCTTTTGTTTTTTCATCAACTTTGATATTTAGTATACCGTCAATATGTTTTATCATTTTATAAAGCGGTGGTTCCTCTCTTTCATTAATATAGTAGTCGGTTGAAGCTTTGACAGTTGGTATCTTGGTTATTAATTGTTTCTGTTGAATGCTTTTTAAGTCGTGATTCATTGCGTAAATATGACTGTTTTTGACCATTGCATAAAATGGTTTGATGTGCCTACTATTTATATCGGGGTCGCATTTATAAATCAATTTATTGCAACAATCATAAATTCTGCACGGAATTTTAAACTGTTTAAATACAGCCTCCATCTCGTGAATGGTTGCCCCCGTTTCACTAAAGTTATCTCTACCTATAATTTCAATTACTTTTTGTCTAGTTAGTCTATTACGGGTCCTTTCGTTCAGAATTGTGTCACTGTAAAAATCAGTTAATGCATTAATCCAGCATTCGTTTTCAATATAATTACCCTTGTTAATTGCCTTATGTATGGTGTCTTCGTTCATCCTTAAAGGTGTATGTATATACCTATTAAAAATTGAAACATTAGTAGCATCCCTTAAATTTTCTGTAAGAATGTCAAATTTTTCGCCGTCTTTATTTACCATATCTACTGATAATACTTTAATACATTCTATATCGTTGTAATGTTGCGTAATAGAATCATAATTGTTTTTAAAATCTTTGTCAGTTTGTAATAGTTTTAGTGTATCAACAAACTCATTGTTTACTGTGTCACCTCTTAGTCTATATTATGTATTGGGGTCGCCTATCATTTTAAATATTCTTTTACCTATGATATCTTTAGAAAATGCAGTGGCTTTAATTGTAGCAGTAAAATTATCATATTGTTTCGCAAAAAATAAATGTTGTCTGTGTTTGAATGCATAGTTGGACTTTATGGTTCTCCTGTCTTTGTGCTCTGATATGTATAACATAAATTGAACAAAATATTTATTTTTCCCTCCCCTTGCTCTTGGTCCTCCTGAGTCGTTATCTATCTTCAATTTCCCTCCCGTCTCCTTATTTGTCCTTGCTTCTGCCATTCGTTGATTTAAGGGCTTATTTTCCTTGAATTTCTTAATATTATCCTTGTATTTTTGATATGTTTTATCATAAACTTTTGTGTCAGTAGAAGTTAAACCCTTGATTAAATTTTCAGCTGTTGTAACATTTGAAATCTTCCTCTCGGTATATAAATTAACTACTCTATCTATTTTTCTAAGGTCCGATTGTTTTGCTGTCCGTGATGACTTCTGCCTTAGCA